AAATTATAATTATAATTATTAATTAAATTATAATTACAATAATAATTATAATTAATTATAATTATATAATATAATTATAATTGTATAATTATATATATAATTGAAATAATTATATATATATATATATATATATATATATATATATATATATATATATATAATCTGTTATGTTTATTCAAACTGTTGATAATTATAATATTACAATTATAAATAATTATAATTATTAATTATTATAATATAATTATAATTTAATGTTCAAAAGACTAAATATGTCGAAGCATTTGTATATTTTAAAATCGGACTTGTATTGCCCATTTGGTGCAAAATTAATTTGAAACCAGATAAATATATATATGGGAGCTATATCCAAATCTAAACCGATCTTAACCAAATTCGGCATACTACCTTCTACACTCAATTCGGTCGTATGTGCCTAATTCCATCCCATTTGGGCAAATATTAGACGTTTGGTGCACAATAAAAGGTAAATCGGACGAAGTTATATATGGGAGCTATATCCAAATCGGAACAGATCTCCATAAAAATTGGCAAAGACATTTCTGAGCTGTATTTCATATATTTCCCTGAATATCGTTAGTACGGAGTGCATATTACCGCTGCGGAGGACAAAAATAACAAATCGGATGAAAAATATATATGGGAGCTATAGCTATATTTGAACCGATCCTTACCAAATTTGACATACTAGCTTCTAGACTCAATTCGGTCGTAAGTGCCGAATGTCATCCCATTTGGGCAAATATTAGACGTTTGGTGCACAATAAAAGGTAAATCGTACGAAGTTATTTATGGGAGATATATCCAAATCTGAACCGATCTCGATAAAATTTAGCAAATGTATTTCTGAGATATATTTCCCTGAATTTCGTTGTTACCGAATGCATATTACGGCTGTGGGTAACAAATATAACAAATCGGATGAGCAGTATATATGGGAGCTATAGCAATATCTGAACCGATCTTCACCAAATTTGGCATACTAGCTTCTAGACTCAATTCGGTCGTAAGTGCCAAATTCCATACTACTCGGGCAGATATTACACGTTTGGTTCACAATAAAAGGTAAATCGGACGAAGCTATATCCAAATCTGAACCGATAACCATAAAATTTGGCAGAGATATTTTCTGAGCTGTATTTAATATATTTCCCTGAATATCGTTGTTACGGAGGGCATATTACGGCTGTGGGTAACAAATATAACAAATCGAATATATAGGAGCTATATCTAAATTTTGACCGATTATTTCCAATTTCAATAGGGTTCGTCCTTGGGCCAAACAATTGATTTGTGCAAAATGTTATCTTAATCGGATAATAGCAAAATCTCGTGTTAGCATAAATATTTGTATTTGTGAAATTTGAAGAGAGTTGGATTCTTATTTCGCTTTCTTTGAGCGTTTTTTTTTTTTTTCAAAATCTTGAACCCAATGTGGAGCAGGTAGCTAAAGAAATGGTCCGATCTCTATCATCTGTATAACAGATCTTGTGTTGATAGAAATATTTTAGATGTACCAAGTCTGGAAAGGAATCGGTCGTTAATTGCGGAGGTATCAGAAGGAGTGAACCGATGTATTCCATCTTAACACCAGACCATGGGTTAAAAAAATTATTGGGATGTGTGAAATTTGAAGACAATCGGATTCTTACATCCCATTTTATAAGAGTTGTAATTATTCAAAATTTTGAGCCTTTGTGAGGGAGGTACTTGATGGAGTGCACCGTTATTGTCCATTTTCGCAACTGACCTAGCACTAATGCAAACAGTAGGAATTGCAAAGTTGGAGCAAAATATTTCTCTTTTTTTTGACATTTGTGTGGGAGGTACCAGAAGGAGTGGCCCGATATTGCCCATCTCCGAACTCGATCTAAGTTTGACAATAATATTATGATGTACCAACTTTGGATCATATCGGATACTCCCTTCGAGGCCAAAGAGACCTAGGGTCTAAAACCGTTATTTCGACTAGGCACGTTTTGGCCGTATCAGAAATTTGATATTTAGATTACTGAGTGTATTTATGTTTCAAATTTGGCAGTGGCTTAGAAATTCGTCCTAAATTTGTACGAAAAATACTACAGGGTACTTAATTTGGTATTCGGTGAAGGGATTGGACTGGACTGGAAGCACGAAATTTGATATTGAGGTCTCTGTTGGTGTCTGGAATTGTGGTATGAAAGAGTTTTTGGAAATGTGTACTAGAATTATACGAAAAGTACCAAATGGTATGTAATTTGGTATTGAATGAAGGAATAAAGCTGAAATCCTGAAATTTAAAACGGATAGCGCTGTTGGTGTCCACGGTTAAGATATGGAGGTGGATTGTTCGAAAAGTACTTAGTGGTATTGAATTGGGTATTCAATGAAGGAGTAGAGCCGACATCTCGAAATTTGATATTGAGGTCTACGTTGGTATCTGAGATTGACATATGGAGGTGATTGTGGAAATATGTTCTATAATTGTACGAAAAGTACTAAATAGTACTACATTTGATATTGTGTGAAGGAATAGAGCAGAAATCCCGAAATTTAATATTGATGTCTCTGCTGCTTTTTCGAATTGATATATTGTGGTGTTTTTTGTTTGGGAATTTGTACTAAAGTTGTACGAAAAATACCAAATAGTACCAAATTTGTGTACTGGGTGAAGTAATAGAGTAGAATAAAGAATATGATATGGATATGGAAATATATTTGCATTACATTTCCATGTACAATTCTGAATTCTAAAATTAGTACTAAAAGTACTAAAATTATACAAAAAGTACTAATTATACTATATTTACTTGAAGTTTAAAATATTGTATTATAGTCGCTCTTTATGTGAAGCCTGGGCAATTACAGGAAAAACACTAAATGGTACCATATTTGTATTGGGTGAAGGAATAGAAATAAAATTCTGAAATTTGATATCTGTTAAAATATGGAATTGATATATGGAGGTGGATTTGGAAATGTGTACTATAATTGTACAAAAAGTATTAAATAGTGCTATATTATTAAAAAGAAAATATTAAATCCCACATATGGCGTGGAAAGTAACGGTGTTTATCCTATATTTTTTTATAAAATCTGCATTAAGTACAAATACAAAAAAAAAAAATGAAAAAAATATGAAACTGGAAAAATTCATGCAATTTCTGGGCGATATTTTTATACCCTTCTCCACAAGATGGTCAGGGTATTATGTCTTTGTGCATTTGTTTGTAACAGGCAAAAGGAAACGAGATAGATCCATAGTTCCTTTTGATGATCTGCATAGAATCACATTCTGAGACGATTTATCCGTCCGTCTGTTTGTCGGTCTGTCCATGTATTTTTGTGAACAATCTACAGTTCGTATTTATTACCCAATCCAGATGAAATTTTGCACAAATCATTTGTTTGGCCCAAGGACGAATCCTATTGAAATTGGAAATAGTCGGTAGAAATTTAGATATAGCTCCCATATATATCTTTGTCCGATTTGCATTTTATTGTGCACCAAACGTATAATATCAGCCCGAATAGTATGGAATTTTGCACATACAACCAAATTAGGCCTGAAAATAAGTATGCCAAATTTGATCGAAATCGGTTCAGATATAGCTATAGTTCCCATATATATTGTTCATCCGATTTGTTATTTTTGTCTTCCGCTGCCGTAATATGCACTCTGTAACAACAATATTTGGGGAAATATATCAAATACAGCTCAGAAATACCTTTGCTAAATTTTTATCGAGATCGGTTCAGATTTGGATATAACTCCCATATATAACTTCGTCCGATTTACCTTTTATGGGCACCAAACGTGTAATATTTGTCCAAATGGGATGGAATTTGGCACTTACGACCGAATTGAGTCTTGAAGCTAGTACGTCAAATTTGGTGAAGATCGGTTCAGATTTGGCTATAGTTCCCATATATATTGTTCATCCGATTTGTTATATTTGTTACCCACAGCCGTAATATGCACTCCGTAACAACAATATTTGGGGAAATATATCATACAGCTCAGAAATATATTTGCCAAATTTTATCAAGATCGGTTCAGATTTGGATATAGCTCGCATATTTATCAAATGGGCAATACAAGTCCGAATTTTAAAGATACAAATGCTTAGGCATTTTTAGTCTTTTGAACTTTAAATTATAATTATAATCATAGCGTGTATGATTGAATTCTCACATAAAAACTTTTTAACTGTTATGAGGAGTTCTGCTAAATTAGCAAAGTGGCGTAGGGTATCATAAAGTCGGCCCCGCCCTACTTTAAGGCTTTGTTTTCTGTTTTATTTATTAATTATTATTATTATTATTATTATTATTATTATTTTTAAATCCTCAAATGGGCAATTTTTTGTTGTTTTGATCTCCTAGCATAGACGTCCATATGCTGAGGGCATGTATCTCTTGTCGATAACCAAGTGACACTTCCCGACTTCTTCGAAAACACCTTTGCCCAGCTTTGCAAGTCTGTAGGCCATTGTCGATCCATTCTTTCTTGTACCTCCTCCTTAATAGGACTCATTTTGAATATTCATCAAATGTTAAATCACATTGTGGCTCATTTCTCCAAAAACCTGGCTAAACCCTCGAAACTTTGCCTTAATAAAATCATCACAACTGTAAAAACTAGATCACGTGCCAATTTTTGAATATTCTTTCAGGTTCGTAAACACTTGAGATTTTTGTTTTCATAATTATTAATCGATTTAAATCTAAGAAAAATAAAATAACAACAAAATATACGTTTCGTTTCTTTTTTTTTTCAGAATGTCGATTATGGCATTTAATGCCCCCGCCATAGAGGTACATTTTTTCCCAATAACATTAATCAATCTTATCGCCCTGGTATCGCTTCAAAAATGCTGCTATTTAATAACAATCAATCCTAATCGGTTTTGAAAGCCAACGACGACAGTAAATTCAGTTAATTCTCATCCGTCTAAATTAACGCCTCGGAAAATGCGGAGAAACTCTTTAAAATTCTCCCTCACCTGTTTCCTAATTTTGGGGATGAATATTTTTTTCACTGTCCATGGCTTGCCCTCCTGTGCCATGGAAGATGAAGAGTGTCGTGATCGCTTGATGCATCCTGATTTACCCGAAGATCCTCGCTACCATGCAAGGGCAGTTGATGGCGAAAAGAGTTCGGCATATTGGCTAAATCAGGGCAAGAAATTTGTGGAAACGAAAACAACGACACCTTTGAATAAGAAAAAGGCGAAAAATGTCATTATGTTCCTGGGAGATGGTATGGGTTTGACCACCACGGCGGCTGCCCGTAATCTGCTGGGTGGTGAACATTCCGAACTGTCCTTTGAGAAATTCCCACATGTGGGCTTGGCCAAAACCTATGCCGTTGACAAAATTGTATCGGACTCTGCCAATACGGCCACTGCCTATCTCTGTGGCGTTAAGACCCTCTACGGAACGCTGGGTGTCAATGGCATGGTGGAACGTGGAAATTGTCGAGCTATGTTGGATAAGGCTAACCATGTCAGTTCCATTGCCCAGTGGGCCATTGATGCTGGAAAATCGGCGGGAGTGGTCACAACAACACGTATTACCCATGCCTCACCGGCTGGAGCTTATGCCCACATTTCGGAACGTGATTGGGAAGATGATACGGAAGTGGTGAAGGCATGTGGTCGTGACTCTGGCATTGATGACATTGCCCTACAACTGATACATGGAGAGACGGGTGGTAAATTCAAAGTCATGATGGGAGGTGGAAGAAGGCATTTCGTGGACTCCTCTCTCCAGAAAAAGGGAAAACGTTCCGATGGCCGTAATCTCATCGATGAATTCAAGTCCCAGAGTCCACGCAATGCCTATGTCGAGACAAAGGAAGAATTGGCCAATTTGAATCTGCAGGAAGTTGATAGGGTTTTGGGTCTATTCCACGATTCCCATTTCGATTTCCATTTGGATACCGATGTCGAGTCGTCAACGCAACCCACCTTGGAGGAAATGACTCGACGTACCATTGAATTACTGAGCCAGGATGACAATGGCTATTTTGTGTTCATTGAGGGTGGGCGTATCGATTCAGCCCATCATGATAACACCCCACGCAAGGCCCTCGATGAGACAGTGGAATTTTCCAAGGCCATTCAATTGGCCCGCGAAATGACCAGTGAGGATGATACCCTGATTGTGGTGACGGCTGATCATTCACATGCCTTCTCCTTTAATGGATATCCGGTAAGTTCTGAAAGGGGAGATATATAAGGGCATTTTTTATAATTTTATTTTCCATTCCCTTTCTAGTACCGCGGCAGCGACATCTTTGCCGCCTCGCCCACCAAACCCAACGACAAAATTCCCATGATGGTCCTAAGCTATTCCAATGGTCCGGGTTATGAGAAATTCTATGATGCCATCAATGGTGTACGCCATGACCCCACCACGTTGATGAAGGGTCAACCCAATGATGTATATCCCGCCACCTTCCCCCGCGACTCAGAAACCCATGGCGGTGAGGATGTGGCCGTCTATGCTTCAGGACCATGGTCTCATTTGTTTACCGGTGTCTATGAACAGAATGCCATTCCCCACATGATGGCCTATGCCCTGTGTGTGGGTAAGGGGTTGAAGGCATGCGATTAGATTAAAATTTAATAATAGACTAATTATCGGAACAACTGTAGTTTAAGATATGAAAATGGAGATGTGAAAAAAAATTCTGAAGAATTTATGATGCCTTCGTTGATTTTTTTATTTTGAAGTGCTATTTTTCGGAACAATTAGAAATTTTCAAAAAAATATTTGATAAGATATGGCTATAAATTGTGTGGAGAACCGGTTTCATGAGGAATATGTTTTGGGTTTTTCGTACTAAAATGGTAATGGAAATTTCTAATGGCAGTCACTGATGGTGTGTGGGATAGATATACCAAAGAGTTTTTGGAAATTCGAAGTTTTAGGTTACGAAATACGAAATTACGAAATTCTAAATTCTGTACTAAACTTCTAAAATAGTACAATTTGGTGGAGGGATAGAGCTAAATACTTGAAATTTGGTAAGTGAATCAAAGTTGAACCAGTAAAGAAGTCTTAAAGTCGGACGGGGCCGACTTTATGATACCCTTTGCTAATTTGCTAATTTAGTAGAGCTCCATATAACAATTAAAAGTTTTTATGGGAGAATTCAATCATACCCGCTATGATAATTATAATTTAAAGTTCAAAGGACGAAATATGCCAAAGCATTTGTATTTTTATACCCTCCACCTTGGAAAGGAGAGTATATTAACTTTGTCATTCCGTTTTTAACATCCTTAAATATTCGTCGTAGACCCCATAAAGTATATAAATTCATAATCAGCATAAAATTTTAAGTCGATTTAACGACGTCCATCTGTCTGTCGGCCCGTCTGTCTGTCTGTCCGTCTGTCTGTCTGTTGAAATCACGATACAGCCCACATTAATTGACGTAGAACGCCAAAATTTAGCAGAGCAATTTGTATTGTGTCTAGGATGGTTGGTATTGAAAATGAGATATATAGGTCCACGTTCTGGTACACTCCCCATATAACGGTACCTCCCGATATTCGGTAATTTGATGATTTTTGCCACATTTTTTCACGGATTTGTCTAAAAATTGGTATTTGCGGGTCATAATGGGTCCTAGTTCGTGTGGCTAAACATTGTTGGTATAGGTCCACTTTTTGATATGGTCCCCATATAACAGTACCTCCCAATATTCGGTATTTTGATGATTTTTGAGAATTTCTCTGAAAATTGGCAGTTGTAGATCATAATGGGTCGCAGTTCGTGTGGCGAGTTATTGTAATTATAGGTCCACGATTTGGTATAGCCCCCATATAATGGTACCTCCCGATATTTGGCATTTTAATGGTTTTTACCACATTTCTTCTAATGTTTCCTTTACCCTAAGGTGGAGGGTATTAAAAGTTTGGCCCGACAGAACTTAATGTATTTTTACTCACCTTGTACATCATCTTCACAACAGATCTTGTGTTAGCAAAAATGTTTGTGTGTGTGTGAAATTTGAAGAGAGTTGGATTCTTGTATCGCTTTCTTTGAGCGTTTTGATTATTCAAAACTTTGACCCTTTGTGGGGGAGGTACCAGAAGAAATGGTCCGATTTCTACCATCTTTATGACAGGGCTCGCGTTGATGAATATATTGAGATGTGCCAAATCTGAATGGAATCCGATGTTAATTTCGCGTTTTATGAGCTTCATGGATATTCAAAATTTTGACCCTTTGTGGAAGAGGTAGCAGAAGGAGTGGGCCGTAATATTCCATCTTTACAGAAAATTGTGTGTTAGTAGAAATAATGAAATGTGTGAAATATGAAGAGAACCGAATGCTTATTTCGGGTTTTATGATCGTTTCGGTTATTCAAAACGTTGATCCTTTGTGAGGGAGGTACCGGCAGGAATGGTCCGATCTCAACCGTTTTTATAAAAGATCCTGTGTTGATAGAAATATTCAGAGGTGCCATGTCTATATGAAATCGGATGTTAATGTCGCGTTTTATGAGCTTCATGGATTTGCAAAATGTTGACCCATTGTGGTGTAGGTACCAGAAGGAGTGGATCATCGATATTCCACCTTTGAAGATAATGGAACACTTACATCACATTTTATAACAGTTATAATTATTTAAAATTTCGACCCTTTGTGAGGGAGGTACTTGATGGAGTGGACCGATATTGTCCTATTCACATGACCTAGCACTGATCGTTAGATCGACAGCAAATGTCCTATTTCTATTGAAAATCCCCTTTTTCAATGCCGCTCATCCAAGACACCATATAAACCAAATTTCAGATAAACTTATGAGTGCCCTACCTTGAGTTTTTTGGTTTTGCAGAGACCCCTATAATTATAACTTATGGGGTCTCCAGCGTATTTTGTGGAATTAATTAAAAAAAATAGCTATGTGTTTTTATACCCTCTACCATATGGCTACAGAGGGTATATATCATTTGATACGGACAAAACGTGCCCAGTCGAAACAACGATTTTAGACCCTAGGTCTCTTAGGACCAAATCCGTTTCAGAACATTTGGAGTCGATCTAGTGATATCCGTCCGTCCGTCTGTCTGTCTGGCTGGCTGGTGCGCACGATAACTCTCGAAGGGAGTATCCGATTTGGTGCAAACTTGGTACATCGTAATATTTTTGTCAAACTTAGATCGAGTTCGGAGAAGACAATATCGGTCCACTCCTTCGGGTACCTCCCCCAAATTTTCAAAAAATATATTTTTTGCACAGAAAGATAAAGGATAATCCGATTTTGCTCCAACTTTGCAAATCCTAATATTTGCGTCAGTGCTAGGTCAGGTGTGAAAATGGACAATATCGGTCCACTCCATCAAGTACCTCCCCCACAAATGCTCAAAATGTTTAATAATTACAACTCTCATAAAATGTGATGTAAGAGTCCGATTGTCTTGAAATTTCGCACATCCCAATATTTATATTAACCCAAGGTCTGATGTTAAGATGAAATATATCGGTCCACTCCTTGTGGTACCTCCCCCACAAATGGTCGAAATTTTAAAAAAATATATATTTTTTGCACAGATAGAGAAACGACAATCCGATTTTGCCCAACTTTGCAAATCCAAATATCTACATCAGTGCTAGGTCAGGTGTGAAAATGGACAATATCGGTACACTCCCTTCAGGTACCTCCGCCACAAAAGGTCGAAATTTTGAATATCCATTAAGCTCATAAAACGCGAAATTTATATCGGATTCCGTTTAGACTTGACACATCTGAATATTTCTATCAACACAGGATCTGTAAAAAATGGTAGAGATCGGACCATTCCTCCTGGTACCTCCCCCACAAAAGGTCAAAGTTTTGAATAACCAAACGTTTATAAAATCCGAAATAAGCGTCAGGTTATCTTTATATTTAACGCATCCTATTAATTCCACTAACAAAGGATCCGTTGTGAAGTTGGGATATATCGGTCCACTCTTTCTAGTACCTTCCCTACAAAGGCTCAAAATTTTGAATATCACGTCGCAATATTTATATCATACTTATTAAAGTCCGATATGAAATGACCAATATTGATCCATTCCTTCCTGCATAAGGGGTTAAACATTTAAATAATCATAACAGAAGTCAAAATATTTTTAAATAATCGAACATTGGCTGAGGATATTCATCTGTCGGCAAAACCGACCGATACTTTTTTACTTGTTTCCTTAGAAGACATTAAAGCAGAACTTAAAATCAAATTAAATTATGTAAATTTTCTGATGTGCATTTATGTGGAATACGAACATCGCCAACAATGTACGATGTACGTACGCGTGTAGTACACACACACACGCGTTTACATTTACAAACATAACAATATGTTTGTTAGCCACAAAACATAACTTCCGACACAGATACATTTCATTCTGTCCCCTCTTCCCCTTCCCCTTCGACCCCTTGTAGCCCCACCCTTCAAAATGTCATTCATTCCGTCGTGCCATGGAATACAAATAGTTATTGTCCTTTTTGAATGACATCGGTCACACTTATTGATGTCTCGAATGCTGTCGGTGACAATTCTGTCATTTGGCCATTGTTGTGTGTGGTGGTCATATTTATAAACTCAACAACAACAATAACAATTGGCAGCGGCAGCAGCAAGAGCAACGACAATACAAATAGAACCAACTACAGAACAGAATTGTTAACAATAAAATTCAAGTGAAATATAGGACACATTGAGTCCATTTAACAAATGTTAATGATGTGCTTTATGTCGGTTGGTCAGGGTGAAAGGGGGGGTGGTAAGTTATCCTGTGGCCTGGATAATCCCATATTTAAATGGAAAGTGAGTTTTTTTCGCAGTTTGTAGAAATGGAATTTAAAACAAGCAAAATAGTATCAGTTGGTTTTGCCGACTGATGTATACCCCCAGCCTTGAGTTATGAACGTGACAGATTTGGACTATTTAGCGACTACTTCTTGTACTTTATATGAGATATTTGCACATTTTCGGTAAATGGAAATATGCTTCAGATAACAGATATAGCGGGCCGAAGTAATCCATTTTTATACCCTCCACCTTGGAAAGGAGGGTATATTAACTTTGTCATTCCGTTTGTAGCAACCTTAAATATTCGTCTTAGACCCCATAAAGTATATATATTCATAATTAGCATAAAATTCTAAGTCGATTTAACGATGTCCGTCTGTCCGTCTGTCTGTCTGTCCGCCTGTCTGTTGAAATCACGATACAGCCCACAATATTTGACGTAAAGCGCCAAAAGTTAGCAGAGCAATTTGCATTGTGTCTAGGATGGTTGGTATTGAAAATGAGATATATCGGTTCACGTTCTGGTATAGTCCCCATATAACGGTACCTCCCGATATTCGGTATTTTGATGATTTATGCCAAATTTTTTCACGGATTTGTCTGGAAATTGGTATTTGTGGGTCATAACGGGTCCCTGAGCGTGTGGCAAAACATTGCATGTATAGGCCCACGTTGTGGTATAGCCCCCATATAAACATACCTCCCGATATTCGGTATTTTAGTTTTTTTTTTTGCCACATTTTTTCACGAATTTGTCTGAAAATTGGTATTTGTTGGTCATAATGGGTTCCAGCTCCGGTGGCGAAACATTGCATGTATGGGTCCATGATTTGGTATAGCCCCCATATAACGGTACCTCCTGATATTCGGCATTTTAATGGGTTTT